GGCGGCTGGCGGGGCTGGGCTGGCCGAGCAGTGCGCGCCGGCGGCTGACGGGGCAGAGCGCACGACGCCGCCTACGCGCGAGCTGCAACCTCCTACCGTCGTCGCCGCCAGCACAGGAGGGGGGCCAAGACGTCTCTCCAACGGGGGGCTAGCGCAGGACCGCGTCAGGCGTCCAAAAGAAGGAAGATGCCTCGCGGCGACAGAGAAAGCGACTGGGTGAGCCGGGTGGGCGGCGGGCGGGGGAACGGGCCCGCGGCGCCCGGTAACTGCCGCCGCCATGATGGCCGCCGCCATGAGGGCGCGTTGGGCCGGAGCGGCCGCCGCCCGCCGCGGGGCGAGGCCCTCGGTGCGGGAGGGCGGGCAGGGAGCGCCGGGCTGGGCTCGAAGCTCGTTGCGGTGTGGCCGAGGGGGCCGTTTGGAGCGCGGCCATTTCCCGCGTTGCGGCGGAGAGGCCTAGTCGTTAGCGAGGGCGGCGGGGGGGGCCGAGGGGGCTCGGAAAGCACGGCGCGCGGGTGGGGGGGCGCCTCGGAAACTCTTTTATTAGCGGGGAAAGGGGTCGCAGTCGGCTGGGGAGGCTTCGCTCCGGGTGAGGAGCCGCGGGTGGATCCGGGCTGGCTTTCCCGAGAGCTGGGGAGGGGGGAGGGGAGAGAAGAGGGGGCGGGAAGAAAGGAGCAGCTCCAGCGCCATTTCCCTGGTGTGCGGGGCGGCAGCACTCACCCTTTGTCGCGGGGCGTGCGGGACCGCTGAAGAGAGAAAAAGGGAGGGAGGGGAGGAGGGAAGGAAGAACAGAATGCCGAAGCGGGCGGCGCGCCCTATGTCGGCGGTGCGGGGTAGAACGGAGCAGGCTGCGGCGAAATCCGCCTCTCTCCTCTGGCTCCCGGGGCCCCGCGATGTGTCGGTGCTGGCGCCAAAATCTGGGTAGTTATCACTTCTTCCTGCCCGGGCGGAGGGGGAAGGGGCCAGGCCGCCAACAGCAAGGGGAGATTTCGGGGGCGCGCTTCGCTCTGCTCCCGCCCGCTCCCTGCCAGTACCATGGGTGGCCGCGGAGAGGACAGCGGGGGGGGGGGGGCGCAATGTGAGGCCGCCTTCGGCTAATTATAACCGCTCGCTTTGAGGTTTGAGTCTTCGGGGCCGTTCGGCAATTTCCGGAAAGAAAAAAAAAAAAAACAAAAACCGACACTGTGCCAGTCGCGATCGGGGAGGTTTCGGCTCGGCTCGGGCAAGTATTGCGAATCTCTTCCGTTGTCGGAAATTGCCGAACGGGCTGGGTAGTCGGTGACTGCAGCGTCTCTTTCTCCGGAAATTGCCGAGCAGGTTCCGAGCGCCATTCTTGTCTGCTTCGGCAGATTCCGGAAATTGCCGAACTGAGTCGAATGGGCTTCTATTCCCGTTTCGGCTTTTTCCGGCGACTGTCGAAGCGGATAAGCTCGACGACGACGGCTCCTTCGGCTCATTTCGGAGACAGCCATTACTAACGGAGTTGATGACTTTTTATTGCATGATAAAAACACGTAGGGGTGTTATACAGAACTGCTGCCCCTTTGGAGATATTTAAGCTCTAGATTCAAGCCTTTTTTTTTTTTTTTAAACTAAAACCTCGGAAGAGAGCCTGGGCTGGAGAAGGAGGGCGCTAGCACTACGTGGAGCTGAATTTCAAATTACGTAACAGTTAAGGCAGCCATTACTGACCAGTTGTACGGTACTCTCAAGCAGGAATACGTAAACCATGAAGAATATGGTACGTGAAAAGGGAAAATTCGGAGTTTGCTTTTAAGGAGGGTGGCACGTTTGGATATGCATACGGAGTGAATTTTTCCGGGTCTGGGCGTTACGAGCGGGCTTGAGCCCTTGTCAGCGAAGGTCTCGGTGCCCCTGCTGGCTCCCCGTTGGTGCGCTGCGGGTAGGGGGCTGGATGTCTTTCCGCAGAGGAAGCGTTAGCGGGGAGGAAGGTTCTGGAAGCGGCGGCCGGGTCTAGTGCGCAGCCGAGAGAGAAGGCGGAAGCTGCGGTAGCTGTGCATGGCGGATGGCGAGTTCTTAAATTACTTGACGTACCCGTTAGCCGAGCTGCCGTTAAGGTGGTGCTGGACGAGGGGGGACACACGACCATGGAGGTCAGTCAGTGCGCGATCCGGGGAGTCGCCTTTGCCCTGCGAGGTGGTGACCGGCCGGGGTGGCGCTGCGAGTAATGGCGGTGGCGAGGGGGAGGGGTAAAATGGCGGCGCCGAGACTCGCTTGTGCGTCAGGCAGTGAGGATCGCTCCGAGGGCGAGAAAGCGAGTAAGGCGGAGGGGGGGGCAGTAGGGGCTGCGAGGCGGGCAGGCAGCTATAGTCGTCTGGTATCTGTGGGGGCGGAAAAGAGTGCTTGCAACGCCTTCCTGGTACGGTGTGTGTAGGTGCACGCTAGAAGCGGCTTGCAGCACTTGGTTACAGTTTAGCCCGAGGACCCGGTTGTTATTTATCTTTTTTTTTTTCTTCGTCTGGGGTCGGTGCTTCCAGAAGCTATTTCCTTCCCGCCGCATCGCTGTCCCTGGAGGCGACGGCTGCTTCTGGGCGCCATTTTCCCCTTCTGGCTGCGGGGGCCCTTGTTTTCCTGATATCCGCCACATGGCGGAGCCGGCTCGGTAACCGCTTAGCTCCTGCTAACATCAGACGGCGGGGGAAGGGGGAGAACCAGGCTGTTGGATTGCAAAGCTCTGTAGAACGTATACGGGCTAAAGGGGGGGGGGCGAGGAGCGGCGAGCGGCGGAGAGAAGCGTCTTTTTAGTTTGGGACCAGTAAAGGCAGCTTTGCTTTTGGCAGGCCTAGCCGTTGTAGTTCAGAGCTTCCACTTGCTTGTCTATGTTAACCATTTTTGTTACTCGGGTTCTTAACTCTGCAGAAGTCTGCGGTCAGCTTGGAGTATTTGTGCATGCATTATTGCTATGTGAAACACATTTTCTTGCTTTAATGATGAGTTTTCCAGCAAAAGCTCTGCATTTCCCAGTCCTTTGAAGTGTTGCTTTAAGCCTGTGAAGGAAGGTTTAAAATAAGCACTAATGAAGATTCGACAGAGTTCGCAAAGATATCCTCTCGCGCTCTGTTCCTGCCACAGAGTGTAGTAGTATGGAAACCTTAAAAAAGGTTTTTCTTCCAGCTTTTATATTGTGGGCCTTGGTGGGGGTGGGCTGTATGGGGGGGCTTAGTACATGAGGATTTTTATCAAGATTCTGAGAGGGACTGGAGTGATAATGATCTTCTTTATCATACATTTTGCAGCTTCAGCATAAACTTCAGAGGGTCAGAACTCTCTGGACCCTGGTGGGAGGTTGATGCTAGACTAACCATAGCTTCTTAAAACTAACATTTAAAACATATAGTCTTTCTACATCCAGAGGCTGTGTATCTATTAGTGGAACAACACGTTTATGATTTTTTCACACAGTCATTTTAACTAAAGAACTGGTAGGGAATTTTGTTATTGCCATGTCCTGATGTGTGTGGTGCCTAGATGTTGTTCTGGGTAGGGCATGTACTGCATGACACTTAATATATGGTAGATTATAGTTTCTAAGAATTTATACATCTTTCAAGTGTGTTGTTAATTCTGTTTAATGTTTATTAATAGTGTGGTATATGTTTGTCCTTTAAAAAACAAATGCAGTTGTTACAGCTGATAATCTGATTCTTTCCATTTACATGTTTATACCTGTTTTCAAAGGTAAACCTAACACTTACTGGAAAAATCCTACATGTCTACTAAATTTGCTTGATTTTCTTATTTTTATAAGACTATAAACATGCATTATTAGGCAGGCAATAATCGATTATATAGGGAAAAAGTGTCTTTTGTGGGCATATGAAACTGTAGCAAGTAGTCCCTAATTTTCAAGCAGCAGAACTGAAGTAATTTGAAGGGAGGCGCTTTTTTTGCAGTATCGTTGCTTAAAATGATTTCTTTGCTAGCCTACTCAAATTATAAATAATAGTATGACTTGCAGCATATTACTTTTTAGCCCAAGTCTAGTGTGCAGCATCCTTTCCTTTATTCTTTTTAAGAGATGAGGTGAAACAAAATTTGACCTAACGTGGGTCTGCTGCTTTTAAACTCTCATGTCTAATTTTGCCTGTCTATATGAGGAGGAGACAGTACTAGCTTCCTTTGTGTTCCTTAGAAGAAAAAATAGTAGATCTAATAGCAGATTCCAAGTGTTTTCTAAGAGATGTTTAAACTGATCATTCTCAAATACAGTATTTATTTGGGGGAGGGAGGGGGAAGTTTATTTTTCTAACGGTTCACTTTCTTGTCAGACTACAGTATCTCAAGCTGGTAATAGGGTGATGCATTTTGAACAAATACTGATTCAGTACTACCTACAGTAATTGTCTTCCTGTTACGTGCATCTAGATCCAGGCCTGCCTTGGAGAACCTCAGAAAACATGTTCATCTACATGCAGATTGGCTTAATACTTTTAAAAGCATTTGTGTACTGAACTATTTTGCATATTTTCCAAATCTCATTGGTTGTCTTAATTTCCTTTTTACATTTATCTTAGTGTCAAGTGCATAGTTGGTCATGTTGTGTTTGTCAGTTACAGCTAACTATGCAGCGTTTGGGTTGTTTAAAACACAAAACCAAACACCCAAGCAGATTTTCTTGATTTTTAAAATTAGTTAACAGTATAAAGCTTTTTAATGGTTGCCATTTGACATACGAAATGGCAAAATTTATGATCTAGTGATGCTATTGTGTATAGAAGATGACAATTACGATGCTTAGTATAAAAAGTTAGTATGAAAGTATTTTTAACTGGTAGCGGTTGGAAGATTGTCCTTCCTGCTTTGGTGTAATACTACATACAAAATAGTAAATGTAGTGCCTTATTATTCGTCCTGGGTTGTTTTAATTATGTACTAGTTCAGCAGAAATTCCTGCTGTGATGGCAAGTGCAGTGATAATTTCTCTGAAAGGTAATAGAATTAAGTCTTACTGAAAGGATAATTTACATTAGTGGATACATATGTGAATATGTGTTATTCACATTTATGTTTTAAAGGGAATCGAGTTTTGATAGTGCTACCGTTGAGGGTGGATAGGTTTACCACCGATTCCAATGGTGCAGGATCCCAGTTTAATTTTACAGATGCTACAGCTTTCATTCGTTTCAATAATTAATGAGAAAGTATGAATCGATGACCCATTTTAGAACATGTTCGGCTATATCTTCATTTATTTTTATTTTTAATGCCTTGCGTAAATAGCATGATAGTATCCATGTACAACAGTTAGAGCCAGAATGATTTTTAAAAATAAGTGCCGTCTGGAGTAGAATCAGACAGTGTAAATGAATTCATGTTACCTGTAATGAGAACTTTTGGTTTTGTTTTTCTTTTCCTTTTCTTTAAAAAGCATATCCTAAAGATCTTTTAGAGGACTATTCTGGAAGTCTTTTGAATGTGGTCCTTTGTTCTTAATATTTGGAGGGAGAGATGGGAAGAAGCACATAATTAAAAACTATTGTAAAAGTGGCAAAAATTGCTTAATTTCTTCAATAGTTGTAGAACGTTTAGAAGAGCCAAGCCTAATTTTGAAAAATATGTCTACTGAAAGTTTTTGACATTTAAGAAAATCTTCCTTAGTGTCTAATTCTGCTGATGCAAATGGGGTATTGTTGGTTATATTAATGTAATCTTCTTTTCTGTGATAGAGGGAAAAGGAGCAGTTCCGCAAACTGTTTATTGGTGGCTTAAGCTTTGAAACAACAGAGGAAAGCTTGAGAAGTTACTATGAGCAATGGGGAAAGCTTACAGACTGTGTGGTAAGTTTGGCATACTGATGCACAACGACTGCGTAGAATATTTAGAAATTTTAAAAGTGGGGAGTTAGTTTTCTGGATGGCTTAAGGAAAAGATAGAATATTACATTTTTTTAAGTGTACAGTTGGTTGGTTTATACATAATTCGGTCCATTGAAGCTATGCACAGGCTCTCTCTTGCAAACTGTTGATAGAGTTAGGGAGCATTCACAATCTGTTTCCTGTAAAATCTCCCAGATTATCTCTAACCACTGGTTTCAACAATTTAAAATTAACTTGGGCGTCATTGGCTGAAGTGCATTAAGGGAGTGCTTACACAGAGCACTATTACATGTGTGTAATTGGTAACCTTTGGCAGAAAGCTGATGTCATGGTAAGCAGCCTCAACAAAGCTGGAAAAGGATGTCTTTCTGTGTGATGTTTTCATAGAATCATTTAGGTTGGAAAAGACCCTTAAAATCATTGAATCCAACCATAAAGCTAACACTGCCAAGTCCACCACTAAACCATGTCCTTAAGCGCCATGTCTATATGTGTTTTAAATACCTCCAGGGACGGTGACTCTTGCAGAAGTTCCTCCACTGAATTTGTTTTGGGAGCAGTAAATATGTCTTTCATAACACAAATTTGAAGTCTGTAGTCTTCAGAAAGCTTAAAAGAAAGTATATGTTTTATTTTTTTGAGAAGACAAACATAAACATAGGTTGCTGATACAGCAGCATTTCTGAGTTACTGGTAGAGTCTTGGAGGACAACAGTGGTTTGCATTTCTGTGCCAAGCAGTGCCATTCATATACTTAATCAGCACAGCCTGCTACTTTATAATTGTGTTTTGAAATCGAATCAAGGAAAATGTAAATGAAGTTGACATGTTTTCTCCAAATGTTGTTAGTGTTACACTTAGTATGAGAGAGGTAGAAATAGTTTAAACGTGTTCATTGTTTTTAGGTAATGAGGGATCCTGCAAGCAAAAGATCAAGGGGGTTTGGTTTTGTAACATTCTCCTCCATGGCTGAAGTTGATGCAGCTATGGCTGCAAGACCTCACACGATTGATGGAAGGGTGGTTGAGCCCAAGAGAGCTGTGGCTAGAGAGGTAAGGATGGCTTTGAAAGCAAATACTTTTCATGCTTTGAAAAAGGAATCTCTGTCTTGGTCAGACAGTTACGCTTTGTTGTTGTTTGAAATTGCCTGGATTTAAATTCTCTAGGTAAAAGGCTGTAGTTGGGGCACTATTTCCCATACTTGCAGTCTGTTAAATGACACTTACATAAATGTCTGTTATTACAGTGAATTATTAAGTTATTCTGGATGAGAATCGTGTCTGCAAGGGACGCAACTGGGTCTGAAAGTAATGTTAGCAAAACCATGTTGAATGCCTGTAATTATGCAAATTCCAAACTATTCTCTGGAATGGTTACTGTAACTAAACCACAAATTAATACACTCACATTAATCTCTCTTGACTCTATTCCAAGATCTTTTGGGGTATTTATGAAAGGTATATAACGTGACCAAAAATAGGGAATGTAGTAGAGATGCTTCTTTCTTTCCAGTGGTGGTATACAAAATCATCTTAGCACTGCTCTAGTTTTAGCCCCAGGCATATTTGGTTTTTAAATGTCAGGGTACAAATTAGGTGTGTGCACAGGAATGCAGTGCACCTGTAAACTTTTCAGTCAGGTTACTGTGGCACAGAGGTACTTGAGGAACAAGTGCAGATTCTAGGTGACTTCTGTTTACTATGTTGTGGGAGCTCTGGGAGGGTTTAGCAGTTCGAGGTTGGACCCAGGTGTTTAATGTATTTGGACTGATGAACTGGAGTTGAATGAACTGTCCCAGAGGGGGAGTCAAGGGAGATGGAAATCGTAACGACTGGTACCCCTGTTAGCTAGCCTAGTTTTCTTTCCATTCCCTGCAGAATTCAGGGTTGGTTAGCAGTTGGAAAAAGGTAATTAAAGCAGCATACGTGCATACTGTTTATACACAAAAGCTATTGCTGAGCTTTAGGAGTAAGTCATTCTTACCTAGTACACCAGTGTGGATATCATGCCCAAAGTGTAAAAATAACCCATGAGTGTGAGGAGTTGTCTTCATATTTTGAATAGGAGTTAAAATGCATAGCTGTGGATTTGCTGAGGTTGAATGACCTTTGCTGTTGATAGGAGTGGAATGTGGGTTTCACTGCTGTTGGGGAAATGGGGAGAGGAAGCTGACACATCTTTGTTTCAGTTACAAAAATCGTGCTCTGGTTTAAGTTATTAAGTACTTCCAGTTCTTTCAAACAGTTGATCTTACGTTTTCTCTAAATCCGTTTAAAAGCTTTTTATTTACTTTTATGCATTTAATAGGACTTTTATCTGTATCTTTTTCAGTGCTTTTAAGACTTTGACATAAAGGGGGGGAGGAAAAACATCCCAATTACCCCATGTTACTTCCGTCCCAGAAGGCCCCCCATACAAGATTGCAGGGACATGCATTATAAGAGTGCTATCTCAGTGCTTGAAAAATCTTGGTTTATCTGTATTCCATTCCTGAAATCCTGGCAAAATAGTGGGTTATGAAGTTGTTGTTCTTTGGTAATTTAAAGGATTTTTTTTAACAGGAATCTGGAAAACCTGGTGCTCATGTTACTGTGAAAAAACTATTTGTTGGTGGTATTAAGGAGGACACTGAAGAGCACCACCTTCGTGACTACTTTGAGGAATATGGAAAAATTGACACTATTGAAATCATTACTGACAGACAGTCTGGTAAAAAGAGAGGGTTTGGATTTGTTACATTTGATGACCATGATCCTGTGGATAAAATTGTATGTAAGTAAGCTTCATTTCACTCTTTCATTTGATAGTGTTAATCCTTGCAGTTATGGTAATTGTGTAAAGCTAAAGTTAAACTAAAGAGATAATGGGTTTAGTTATGTGCATGAATATTTGCTACATTGTACTTTTGGTGAATTGTGTGGGAACATGTATTTTAAGTTTAAGTTTGGGCTTCTTTGCTTAAAAATTGTATGGTATTTTGTTTTTTTAAATGATCCAGAATATGTATGGAATAATTTGGAAATCACTTCGATTTTTGGAAGCCTGATATTCTTATTGCCAGATCAGTACTTAAATGCTGATGGTATCTTACTTGGTGTTGTTACAGTGCAGAAGTATCACACCATTAATGGCCATAATGCAGAAGTAAGGAAAGCTCTCTCTAGACAGGAAATGCAGGAGGTTCAAAATTCAAGGAGTGGGAGAGGAGGTATGTACAAGTAATGGTTAATGGTTTGTGGTTGATTTTTGTGTTCACTTTCCATCACCTCACTGCTTATAAATGTTAAACTGCCACAGGGAACTTCGGTTTTGGTGATGCACGTGGAGGTGGTGGCAACTTTGGTCCAGGACCTGGCAGCAATTTCAGAGGGGGAGCTGGTAAGACAGGCATGTTTGTAGCTTTTTTTTTTTTTTTTCCTTATTTATACTGTCTTTCTGATTCTGGATAACTTTGTAAGCTACTGCTGTTTAATTTAAATGCAGGTATAGCAGTTACAGAATTTTTTGGAAAAATAACTTGCAAACAACTTCTGTAGTACAGAAATTGATAATGTGGATATTCAGTAAAATGAAGTTGATTTGGTTTAGTTTTTTTAAGGATTTTATTAAAAGCCAAAATTAACCTAAACTTAGTAATTTTGTTAAGGAATTCAGAAATTTCTCCTCTGTAATTCTATGCAGCACTTGCCTGACCTTTATAGTGGAAGGGCTATGTCCAAAATTAAAACTGGGTGTCTTACAAATGCAAGAAAAGAGAAGATGTAGAGCAATGATTGGATGTGTTATTTCACATAATATTTTTCTGAATTCAGGTGTATGTGTGCTTAATCAATAATCTCTTGAGATTTGGTCTTTAAGGTCGTAGGGGTTTGAGAATTCAGTTAGTTTGCTACAGGTGAATTGAAATGCTTCTGTTTTTTTTCTCCAACAGATGGATATGGAAGTGGCCGTGGATTTGGTGATGGGTATAACGGATATGGTGGAGGACCTGGAGGTTAGTTTACTTTTTCAGTGGTGGTGGTTGTTTTTCTGTCACTCGGAAACATTTTTACATTCACTTACCATTTGTAATAAATTGATATTAATTGCTAAAGCCATTTGGTTGGCTTTAAGAAGCGCATGTGGCTGTTGGCTCATGTTACACTTCTACATGGCAAATTGTATGGTTACTTCTTGGACAGCAATGCTCTTTTCATTAGAACAGCAGGGTTTCTTAAATTTCCTGAAAAATCAAGATGTATATTAAGCCTTTTAATTGAAGCTTTTAGGCAGTCTGACTGGTGGATTTTGGTCACAACTAAATGGAAAAAGACCCTCTGATCCTGTATAATTTGGTTGCCTTATGCATGGAAAAGTTTATTTTAAAAGGATTATATTGTCATAGGTGGCAACTTTGGTGGCAGTCCTGGTTATGGAGGAGGAAGAGGAGGATACGGTGGAGGAGGACCTGGATATGGCAACCAGGGTGGGGGCTATGGAGGTGGCTATGACAACTATGGAGGAGGTAATCTACTGGCTTGAAATGGCCAAGCACTTCAGTTGTAAATTAGTGCAAGTCATTTGAGATTTTGGGGCAGGGGAGGTATGTGTTTGTAAATGTTGTATAAGGAAGCTCTTGTTTTCGAAATGGTAAGAAATAGTGTGAAAAAGCAGTTCGTTGCATACACTGCTGGAATACCTGTGTGATTCTGTACTTTATTTAAAATTCTAATAATGACATAACTTGGTGAGTGCCATATGCATTTTAGCTCATCTAGGTATTTCTCCACTTTTGTATTGATAATGCAGGCAATTACGGAAGTGGAAACTATAATGATTTTGGAAACTACAACCAACAACCTTCAAATTATGGTCCAATGAAAAGTGGAAATTTTGGTGGCAGCAGGAACATGGGGGGACCATATGGTGGAGGTATTGTATATGTCCTGACCTGCTTTGCAGCCAGAGTGGGTGGGCTTTAGTCTCTTGGGGAGGTGGAAGGGAAGATAAGGGGTAACTGTTTTGAACTAAAAGAGGGTAGATTAAAGTTAGATATAAGGAAGAAATTCTTTACAATGAGGGTGATGAGGCATAGGAACAAGTTGCTCAGAGAAGTTGTGGATGACCCCATCCCTGGAAGAAGTGCTCAAGGTCAGGTTGGATGGGGCTTAGAGCAACCTTATGTAGTGAAAGATGCCCTTGCCTGTGGCAGGGGGTTGGAACGAGATAACCTTTAAAGGTCCCTTCCAACCCAAACCATTCTATGATTCTAAGATTGATATGTAGAAATTGGTAACTCCTGCAGTAGATGGACTGCAGTGCCCATGTTCTTTCTGCAAGTTGGATACAATTTCACATCTTGAAACTGTAAAGCTTGTCTTGGGGAAAATTATTACTACTGTTTTATTAAAAGATAATGACAAGATATTAACTTTTTCCAGAATATTATGAAATGTTTTGCAGTTTCCAGTCAGTAAAGATTTTAGCCAAGTTTCATGTTCTTTGCTATCAGCTTTGTAGAGTGTCTAGTGAATGTCCACTAAGCTTGCTGGGATTTCTTTTTTTCCCCCTCGTTGTAGTGTCACTTTTTTCTGACGCTTTCTGTTGTTTAAATGTTGTTTAATATGGCATGTAAAGCTTGTGAAACGGAAACTGAAACAGGAAGTCCTTTCATGTAAGGTTTAGCATGCGGATAAAGTTAGCCCTCGCAAGCTCAAGACATGAAAGTTAGCCCTCAAGCTCAGTGCATCAAATTACATGTGACACTGTTGATTGAATCTTCTAAGATTTCAGCATGTAGTCCTTGTGGCAGTTCTTGGAGGTTATTTAGAGGAAGGCAGTGAAATGTTAAAATCTTTGTTGTATATGCTGTCTCTGGAAGTAAAGGAGATGTTAATCTTCATACAGAATCAAAAGCATTCCTAGATTTAAAAAGTGTACTGATGTAACTGTTCTGTTTGTTGTTTTTCTGCAATTGCAGGAAACTATGGTCCAGGGGGCAGTGGAGGAAGTGGTGGATATGGAGGGAGGAGCCGTTATTGAGTTTCTGCAAGCATGCCATGGGTAAGTATGTTTATAAGTGTTAAAATTGCAGTGATTCTTGAGAGTAGCTGCAGGAGTTAAAAGCTTTTTAGGATCATATTATCTTTCCTTTAAAAAATGGTTAGATGAATAATTTCATAACCTATTTTTTTACTCTTTACTTCTGTTGAAACAGGCTTCACTGTATAAATAGGAGAGGATGAGAGCCCAGAGGTAACAGAACAGCTTCAGGTTATCGAAATAACAATGTTAAGGAAACACTTATCTCAGTCATGCATAAATATGCAGTGATATGGCAGAAGACACCAGAGCAGATGCAGAGAGCCATTTTGTGAATGGATTTGGATTATTTAATAACATTACCTTACTGTGGAGGAAGGATTGTAAAAATGCCTTTGAGACAGTTTCTTAGCTTTTTAATTGTTGTTTCTTTCTAGTGGTCTTTGTAAGTGTAGAAGCATTCCTTTGATAATGTTAAATTTGTAAGTTTCAGGTGACATGTGAAACCTTTTTTAAGATTTTTCTCAAAGTTTTGAAAAGCTATTAGCCAGGATCATGGTGTAATAAGACATAACGTTTTCCTTTTAAAAATTTAAGTGCGTGTGTAGAGTTAAGAAGCTGTTGTACATTTATGATTTAATAAAATAATTCTAAAGGAAATATTGTGTAATTTTAGATTTTTTTTTTAATACTGTAAAATAAGGCAAGGAGTGGGTAGTATAAGGTCCCACAAATAATATAAAGCTATTGTTGTACATGTAAAATTAAATGCTGGTCAGAAAAAAGTATGTTGTCTGTAAATGATCAGGTTTAAAATATCTAGATAACTTAAGGGATATCTCTGCAAGGAGAAACACCTTTTTAGATCTTTTAGATGCTGCTTCTTCAATGGCAAGGAAAGGAAATATCCCCAGCGAGGTACTCTTCCAGGGACACAGGTCTAGTACAAGAGAACTCTTGAAAACGTCACTAAGTTCAGCCAGTCTTAAAAAGCTGCGCTGTATTTCTGCAAAGCTTTAACTACAGTAGTTTATAAGGATGCCAACGAAGGCTGAGGGTGTAGAGCAAAATAGTTCTAAGCTTCAGTTAAACTTCTTTAGGTAAGATCTTATTTACTTTTCCTTTCTTAATGTTCCAAAACCAAGAAACTAATATTGTATGACAGTATTCTTTCAGTATAGTGATTATCATGTAGTTTAACATAGCAATGCATTGAGTTAACAATTACCAATTTAAAAGAAATTTGTGAATCCTGTTTTCTTGTATTATTAAATTTTTTACAAACAAATTTTTGTTAATTTCAGCTACTTAACATATTTTTTTCCTACTGGAATCTAGCTATGATATGAACCCTGGACAAGCATAGACTGCTGCCACTGTACACTGCTACAGTTGAACAAATGAGACCTGCAAGTGTCCATTAGTAAAGCTTTGCAAGGGTTCCATCCCTGGTGTTGGTAGTTAAAATGGTAGGTCACAAGTTAATTAAATCATACAACTTTATTTTTGCATCCTGCAACATTTTATTTTTTCTTGGGAGTCTATGCATTATGGTGGTTGCAAGGTAATGCGATGAAGGTAGTTCTGTGCTGTTGAAAATGAACTATGTTGTTATGTGTCTTGTCTACTGTAATCTATTTTATATAACACATTTCATCCTGAAGGTTCCCAAGTAACTGTAGACTGTTTACGTGTAAGGAAAAAAATTGCACCACAGAATACATCTGCCTCTGTGAAGGAATGTGTCGTCCATTCTTTTAACAACTGCATAAGCAGTTCTTTAGGAGGGCAAGTGAAAACTTCAAATGAAACTGCAGGTGGTATTTCATAAGTGTATAATGTAATTATGTAAATTGGAATTTGGCTAGAATGTTGAGGTTTCCACCATTTTTTATAGTTCTTGCAGCTAATAAACCTTAGTGCCAAATTCAGTCAGCCTTACTCTCACTGCATTGAATGTTTGCACCTCAAATTAATGAAAATTCATCAAGTAATGAGTTACTCAGAGTAAGGGTGGCATACTCTACTAGATTTGGTTTTTAAATAAAAATCAACAAAACCCACCAAAAAAAAGGCAACCAAAAAAAGCCCTAATTTCAAAGTTCCACTGCCTTTAAAAGGCTACCCACTGAAGAACGTGGACTCAGCTAACAGAAGTCCTGTTCCTTTTGTGTTAGACACACCAGTGAACTGCTTATACTTTTTTTTTTTAAAATGGCTGAAGTTCCCCTATTGGTAATTTGGTTTAGACATATGTGATAAACATCTTCAGATACACTTTTTTTTTCTTTGGCAGGAAGGTGCCATGCTGCAGGTAACTAATGAAGAAGTGGTCAACCACAGAAACGCTTCAAGAAATAAGAAATTCTGTATCATCAGAAAATAGTTGTTTTTGCTGCCTTCATTAAAAATCTAGAGGTTAAATGAATACTGATAAAACATCACAATTAGTACAGCTCCCTGTAATGCTGGGTTTTTTAAATTACAGTAATAATGTCTTGTAAACCTTTCGAATAAAATTAAGATTCGTTAGGAGAAACAAATCACTAATGTTAAAATAGCAACCATTCTGTGAGTAGAAAGTTTAACTACATATTTTTATAACTTTCATAGCTTTAAAATAAAGTATTTTTTATACCAAAGTAGTTCTAGTGTAATGCTTAATAAAACTTAGTGTGTGTCTAACATTAAATAATGTTTATGTGCAGCTTTTAGACCCTTTCATGATTTGAAACATTCAATTTTGAGGTGGATTTAAAACAAAGTCAACTTGGCAAGTGCATTCACAGAACTTGTATCTCTGACCATAGGCATCTGTTCTCTGTTGGGAGAAACAGTGCTACAAATTAAAAATGCTGATCTTTTTGCTGTTGGACACAATTGCTTTAAAATAGCTTTTTGACTGTGTTTTATATCACTTTATAAAAATATCTCCTCCTTTCCTGTTAATGAAACTAACCACTTAAGACAGTTTGTCAAAATGTGATAGGACAATAGCTTTATCCTTTCCACCTGTAAAGAGTTGTTAGCATCAAGAGAGAAAGACTTGAATGGAATGTAGAGTTCCTGCTGTACCAGAACTGTGTACTGATAGCTGCATCTTCTGGGGAAAAACAAACAAAACAACAACAACAAAAAACCAACCCCAAAAAACTGCACAACCCCTCCCCCCCAAGAAACAAAACCCCACCAAACCAAACTCCAAGCGTGAGCTTGGGAAAGCTTCAGTTGGGAATGTATTTGAGGAAAGGTATCTTCAGTCTGTACTGTTTTAACCTGTTACCTACATACATAGTTTATTCTAAACTTGAAATTTATATGTTCAGCTTTGGCAGAATCATAGTGTCTTTAACCTTCTTTATATGATTCGATATTATTTAAGGGTTCACATATTTTTTTTTTCTGTTTCTTAAGTTAAACTTTGAAATATTTGCATAGGTAACCAGTGGGCTGCAACGGAAGCAGAAAATGAAGATGGCGCAAAATCTGCTTTACTTTCTTCTTTCCAACAGAATGAGTTGACCAGCTGATCAGGAATTTGCCTTCTTCCCTGTAACTTAGATTTAGTTGATGGAAGTTTCTCTTTACAGTTGCCAAGTCCACGTTCATGTGACATTAAAAAAAGCACTTCAAAGGGAAATAATTCTTCTCTTTTTCTGTTTGAGATACTTACACTCTTTCAGTAGTTTTACAACAAGGTTTAAAATTTACTTGACTTAAGTACATTATATTTTCCATAATGAGGATGTTTTAACTTCGATCTACTGGTGATGGGGCAAGGGAATGTATAGGCAACAGCAGTATGCAAAAACTAAATTACTGGATATTTAAAAGTTTTGAAAGCTTGGATTATTTGAGTAAGTTTCTTGTTGTCTTACTGTTGAACTTTCATGACTTTTCTTTCTTGCTATGTTCTTAAGAATTAAAACAAGTGACAATCACAGTGTTTACTGATGAATTCAGTGAGAGAAGTCGCCGTTTTGAGTCAACCTGATACTGAAAGCTAGCAACTTTGAATAAAAACAACAGTGTGTGGTCAATTACTGGTCCTCAATTTGTAGACAATATATGTTTTTCATCTTTTAATTTCTAGAAAGTTGGGTTTTTGTCACTCTACAGACTTTGTTTTCAAATTAAGGGTAACATTGCTGGTCAGTATGTTCCAGTGTAGTGAGGGATCAGGTTGTCAGTACTAGGCCCAGCTTGCCCCCAGCAAACATTTTCTGCAGCAAACTGAGGGAAGAATGTGAAAGACAACATGACTTGTTGGTAACCGGTACGGGAGCAAAAAACTACAGTGTATGACTTGAATTTATAAAGTGGTGGTGAAGAGAAGTCAATACCAGGGTTCTGGCCACTCAGACTTTGTGTTCTCCTGTGTTACTTACAAAGAAAGTTGAATTTTATTCACTTCTATTACTTCTGCTTCAGGGGGTGGAAATTGTTTAGGAGAATGTGAAAAATTGCTCTTAATACTGTAAAATTAGCAGGAATTGAACTTTGTTGTTTGTGGAGAAGAAGATTGCATTCTTTTAATTCTATGATGAATGTACATACTACCTTGGGGATGAAATCATACTACTTCTGGGGAAGAAAAAACCCCTGAAAACATAGATCTGAATTTTGAAGGAGCTGTCAGCTGAGTGTTTTGGCAGCTTGACTGCATTTGTAAAAGGATGATTTGCTGAGAACATACTGGAACAGTACATCCCTTGTAGCTTTAGGGTTTTGGTTTGTTTTCAAAGCAGAGTGCATGATGCAAGTGAAATCCTGTAGTAGTACTGTTAATTTTTTTTTTTTTTTCCTCCTAAGGGAGATGCCAGGTTCTGTTCTCATTTATACAGCGATACTGGTAGGAATGCATAGGAGTGTAACATGGAAGGCTTTTCCTGCGTAAAGTTGATCTATTTTGCCAGAGGTCATACTGTCCCTGTTAACAGTTGTGTTCTTGCTTTGCAGCTAGTGTTGATCTGCATTGCAGCAGAAGTTTCAGTGTTGTCCGAAGTTATTCCAGTTAAGGTAGCAAGAATTGGTTTATTTATCAACAGTAAAAGTAAACAGTGTTTAACTTTAAATGGCTGTGTGACTTGCCTGACAGTGCTATGAGTATACTAGGTCAAACAGTGTTTGGGGACCATGTAGTACAAACTGGCTTGTGTGACCTTCCATGCTGTGCTTCATTGTATGAACAAGGTGACTGTGGGCAAGTCCTAGAAAATGGCTGCTCCCCCTAGGTTCTCACCAACACATGATTCCCACACCCCCCACTTCCTCTTCTTTGGTCTGTTCTTTCTTGGCCCTTTTTTGGGCATTCTTGTGTGAAATCAGTGGCTGATTTAATGGGGTTCTGGTAGCTGTGTAGCAGGTATGAAGTTGCAGTGCCTTTATGAGGTATGCTACGGTAATAAGACTTCACATGGTTACGTGTCATCTCTATTTGGTTTATTTAATAAATAGTTTTTCACTAGAACCTGGTCCTGAGTGTCCTGTTGTCTCATTTATAGGCCTCTACCTACTCTATCCTCAAGATTCTCATTGGAAGCATGCTTGTGACTCCCATAAGATACAAATGTAGCATGTGTATTTTGGGACAAATACTGAGCTGTTAAAACTGACAAACTGATCTTGATGGAAGTTGCTTTGTCCTTTCTTTCCTCTTCAAAGTTTGTTACTCTGGTTATCCCATCTAAAACTAGATTGTAAGCTCATGAGCAGGAACAGTCTTAGCTTGTAAAATTTCACTTCTGTAAAAAGCCAAGTCTATTGAATAAAACCAGAACATGAAGCTAAAGCTGCACTTGAGTGCAGTACTGTTAGTGGTCATTTGAAGCATGTGTAGTGTTGCAGCAGTATGCCATGTCTCTTTTGTGAGGGTTTACTTGTGGTATGCCTGTATGTGAGTGTTGAGCCTTACGTGTCATAAACAACACTTAGGGTACTGCATTCTAATGAAGTACTTAACTTGGGTTTGTTTCGAATGGATGCTTCTCTAGAAGAGGTATGGATCTAAGCATAGCTAGCAGCTCCTGCTCTTATGGAGTGCCTACGCGTCTTACTACCAGGAATAATGGAGAAGGTAATCTGCTTGTGATTTCCCCACAATCTGCTGTTTTTTCAGTCTGACCTTTTCTAACCTCTTGCAGATAACCTCTTACTTTTCATTATTAATGTAGCAAAAATGCAGTTTACTACTCAAATGTTATGGACTACTTCATAGCTTTACCATGGGAACAGTATTTTAATGATAGCTCCCAGATCGGTATTTCCATTTTTTTGTTGCTGCATCAACAACTAAATGTGCAATCCTCAGCTTTGCAGTTTCCTAGCAAGCCTTAAAAGTGTTTTCATTGTTCCTTCTTCAGAGAGATGCTTTTCTCCATGTTAGTATTTAGTAAGGTAGGGTGCAGCCTCAATAGCTTTTTCTCTAGGCAGCCAGCTCCAGTAAGTTTGATACTATAGCATGTTGTCTTACACAACATGGTTCTGGTTTGTACACTTAGGATTTTGGTTTCTTGAAAGTTACGATAGTATAGTAAGAAAGCCAAGATAGATTTCAGTCAGGGGTTTCCCACCTTTTGCAATCATTTCTGTTAAAAGTTTTCTCTAACAATGCTGTTTCCCTGAAGAGCTGCTCAAGCTTTGTACAGTGTCTCCTTTTTGTATATGAGTTGAAAATAGTGTGTAATGCCATTATATGAAGCGTATTAAAAGTAGCTTCGGAAACCCTTTGTCTTGGGAGGAAAGCTTGCTATACAACCTGCTCTTCCCTTATCTGACTAGCCTAACTTTCACAAATAATATAAGGATGTGAAAATGTAAGATGTATCCAAGACCAAGCAGTGTTTGGGTTTGGGGGTTTTTGTTCTATTTCTTTAACCATGAGCTAGTCACAGAAAGGGAAGACAGTTCAAAAAGCATGAACAGTTTAGATGAAACTTAATGGCAGTTACTAAAACTGAAGAAATGGGACACTGTTCTGAATTCTGCCTACAGTTTTTCTTGTCTGTGGGTAGGTAGCTTAAGGTTTGAGAAAAGTACGTAGTGCATCCAGACGTAATGCTCAGTGTCTGCATCATCAGCACTGTTATAACACAGTCTCCACCCAAAATTAGTAATTCACCTGAGAGGTTTTGTAGGGGTATAGTCACTAGCTGAGTTCTCAGAAATTGAGATTCATACATAAACTCCTTAAAGAAATAACAGTTGTTGAACAACAACGAAAGTAGGATTAGCTTAGGGCAGTTCATGATGCTTTCCAGTCTGAAAACTTAAAGGTAATGGAATGAGCTTGGGACTGATGTCTTCACTTTATATGGACCAGCTGGAGTATGATGCTTTCTATTAGGATTGCTCTCTTTGAAAGAGTTCCAACATACTATGAAAATAATCAGCATGTGCCAAAATTTAACCATGTAGCTGTTACCCAGTTGGGTGTATGCTTTACTTCAATAGTAGCTGGCTTTACAATCTGCAATGCTCACTTTCTACTGCTGCCAAAGGAGTGGGCATCAGAAGGTTTAGCTTTTTTTTTCCTCTCCCTTCCCTTGTAGGACTGTAGAAGCTTGCATTGCAAGGCCCTAAACCAGAAATACTTGGGTTTCTGGTTTTATCAGTTATGGGCCAATGTAGTATCTATCAGAATTTGTGCACATGGGCCATGAACTAGACTTAAAAGACCTGGTCCTGCAAAGGCTACATGCATGGACTTTAAAGTGCCGTATTATGTCATTTAATTAAGATTACCATCATGCTGACTCAAATGCACTTCCCCCCCCACCCCGGAACTAGAAATAAAGTTCACAATTTGTCACATGCATAACAGTTGCATGTTTTGGTTGAAGTTCATGAACTAGTGATTAAATAAATTCCTTGTGAGTACCAGTTACGATAGATAGGCTTCACACTGATGCTTAGTCAGTGGCAAGAAATTTTAGGGTCTCGCTAATGAAAGTTTCTGCTATGAATTTACCCTATCAATCTGAGGCTGTGGCAAAACTGATAAATAACAGATGCCCACATTTATTTAAATAAATCCTTTAATATGAAATGCAGAGTAAATTGTTCGAACTGGCTGATTTAATTACCCATAATTCTGTGCATTTTGCACTCTGAGGCAGTGCTCCCTTTTTAGAAAATGCCACTTGATACCAGTTAACTTGTGTAAACACAAGTGCAAACAACATGACTTACATGCTAATGGCATAGTTTATTTCTGAAAAAGGTATAATTTGGCATTTCAACTTGTATTGCATGTAGGTGTAGTTTTTGTTTGGTGCAAGTGTTTTGGTTTTTTTTAACACAACTGACAATAAAGTTGCTATGTTGTCATCATGCCGTGACCAATGAGATTTTTCTTAATACCAGTTTTATGGGTTTTGTTTATAAAAGATATGAAAAGTATTTGTTGCTATCTACTTGTTAATATAATGACTTTACTATCTCACAAACTAGTATACCTCTTAATGTTCCTTCCTTATCATTCATTATGTGCCTTTTAGGCTGTCTTTTTTGCGGATGCTTTTCAGGTAAAAAAGAAAAGGATAAACTGTTGTGAATAAGCATGTGAGTGAATAAAATGTCTTCTTTTTCATAGCACAAATAAATACCGACCCCAAAAGCTCTTCTCTTTATTTAAAGCCATTATCGGAGTGTAACCTCATTATCACAAGTACAGATAAATAGTAATTTGGTTCAACTTAAAGACTTTGGGAAAACAAACAAAAAATTAAATCCATAACATTGAAGATACTTTAAAAATACCAGTTTAAAAAAGCTAAAAAGAAAAGCTTTAGTACTTCTCCTGGAGGAAGGTATCCAAGTGGGGGGAGAAGGGAAGGTACACAAGTAAATATATATCAGGTAGGAGACAGAACAGGAACTCATTCACCATCATTCATTTTCATGGAAGGAAGTTGAGGATGATTCAGTTCCATAGGACGAAGGTAAGACAATATTGAATCAGATACTAATTTTTCAGAATCTGTTTGCAGTTTGACCATATGAGTTGTAAAATTAATTGCTACCTTATATTTGCTTGGAGTTATGACTGTGAAACTAGTGAGGAAAAATGTAATAGCCTCCTGGGCCTCTCTCCTCAAAGGAAAACTAGGAAACGCAGAACAGTTCTGAACAAATGCAAAGCACAGACTATCTCTTAGGAATACATAAATCCACAGTGATTTTAAGGTGGTGATGAACTCGAGCTACACTTTTTCTTTCTGTGCTAAAAGAATAATAAAATACATTCATTTTGTGTATGAAGAATAAGTATTCAAGAACAAAACACACTTTTCTTCCATGTGTACCATTGATCTAAGCTCGCTTTTTTTTCCCCCACTGATGTTTTACCCCCTCCCCCATCACCAGAAACTAAATTCCTAGTTTTACATAGGCTTATATAACTACACCGGGACTGATGGCCTAGCTCCTTTAATTCTAATTAAAATTAAATGGATTTCCTCATTCAGAAGCCTTGGCTGATAGACTTTCTCGCAGATTCCCGTCGGCTGGCTTTGCCAGACCCTTGAACATGCAGTCTTCCTCCTCAAGTGTAGTCTTTTCTGTTTGTACTACTGTAATTACTGACCTCCAGTCTTCATGCAAATATCCTTATTGTTCTTTCAGGAAAAATAAAACCTAAGTGATCTTCAGCCATCTTATTTTTGTTTCTGCTCTTTTTCATTATCTTGTTTCTGTTCTGATTTGACCAAGTGTTTGGGTATTATGAAAACACTGCCATCACTACTGCGATGAATGACACATTGGCATGGGTTAACAGATCTACCCTGGTCATCCCTCGATCTACTGAAAATGCCACAGTAAAAGTTATTTAACTTTTGCTTCATCTGGCTGATTGATCTGCTACACTGAGAGTGCTCCTTTTTAAGGCTCTCCTTTTGTGTTTGAAGATTACATATGTCGTCTTCCAAGTTAAGAATTGCATTCTGTTTACGACAATTTGGGGCAGCAACTTTGTTCCTCTTCATCTGATGTCATGTAAAAGTAATACCCGAGTATCTGTCAGATGGTTCTTTGCTCATGTGCTGTTGAAAGAGTCAATGTGCATGCTCACAATTTCATCTACTAACAATGGTATTCTCAGAGCTTTTGCACGGTGTTCATCGCTGCTAAGGTTTGTATCAGTAGAATTATGGCACCTACCCTTTACTTTGTTTGGTTTCTCCATCCGCATCTGCTGCTGATGCTCCGGAGTGGATGCTGCTTGACTTGGCAGCTGATTATAAATGTGGTTATTGAAGGAAATGCTGGCTTCTCTAGAACACTCTGAATCACCTCGGTATTCCACATGGCCATATTTACTGCGTTCTTGGCTACGGCCACCAACAGCTCCTAAGCTGTGTGAAGAAGCAGATTTAACATCATTGCTGTACCCAACAGCACCTTCATTGCAGACTCAGTAAGAGGCAGTGCTGTGACTTGAATTCAAAGACAATTCCGAATCTGACCCACGTTCTTCAAGGAGCTGAGAAACTTCTATAGGATCAAAGCCTTCCTCCAAAGCCGAAGACATGAGTTTATTTTCATTAAAATTATCATCACGGGCCGTTAGGTTTCTAATGCCAGCAGCTGAAAACAGCCCTATCAAATTTGACCTATGATTTGTGATATTAGAGCTTGACTGAGAAAATGACTTTTGCCTTTGTAGATGTCTTGTTTCTGAATTTGATTGAGTGGGGTAGTTGGTTCTTAATAGCGTGGCATCATGAGGACTGAAACAGTGGCAAAGTGTCTGGATCAAACTTAACTTATATTGTGGTGTAAGCATGATAGGTCTCGGCCTCTATTAGAAGTAGCAACTTGTATATCTTCCAGTAAACTCGCTTAAAAGATGATGGGGGGTGGGGTGGGTATGGGATCTTTTGTAAAATTAATGCCTCTACATTCCTCCCCTACTCGGTCTTGATCAATTTATTTTTTAATATTCCACTATTTGAATCTATTAAAGTAAAAAATTTATATGTTAAACTCTTCTTCTGGCTATCCTGAATACTGTTTCTCATTTGTACACAGCATAACCTGCACTGGCATATGGTAAGAAGAAGTGGGAATGGTGCAGAACAAAAGTGACTGAAGGGATGGGAGGAGGAGGGCTTGCGAAGGATGTTGTGGGACTGATGAGTGTTAAGAAGTGGAAATGGGACTGTTGCTAAGCATATATCAAACTACAGCCTATGTGTTCATCTGATCTGGTCTAAGAAAAGGTCCTTCTAGGAGGGGCAGTCCTGCTCCTTCCCGGGTAGTGGTTTTGATGATCATCTGATTCCAGGGTGAGCTGGTTCAAGGTGCTAAACTGTTAGAAAATTAACCTTGTGAAGAAGATAAAGAGCTCACTGGCAGAACTTAACCAGTGAGAACAGTGGTGTAAGAAAAGGGGGAAGGAGGACAGGAACGTTAAGGCACTATGGTCATGCTGGCACATTCTCACTGCTATTTTTCCACAGTTTATAAAGCTTTCGGGGCTGCGAGCTGCCATGTTAGGCTTAGCTCCTTCTTAAATGAGGTTTATTGTGTTCAGATTTCAACTCAATTCCTTTACTACTCAGTTTGGAGGAAACAACCCCCCCAGATCACACCTTCTGTGGATGTCTTTTGGCTTAAATTACTCCTCAGTTTTTCTTTAGAAAAATAAAGGTGCTGTATGATCCCTCAGACCTGAAGTCCAGATGATAAATGAGTGCTGCAGTAGCATTAAGGCCTACCTTTTGTGGGCCTGGGTTATAGCTGCCAGGTCCTAGAAATACAAAGCCACTGCACAAGATTATGTCAGGGTACTTGCTGACGAGTAGTCATAAAATACACGGATACAAAAAACTTGAGAATGTAAATACATCAAGTAGGAAGCATATGACATGATTCCTCCATAGCTGAGCATCCCCACTGTGGTGCAGGAAAGGGCTTTTCTGACTGCCATTCATTGAACAGACAATGTAAAAAGTGCTTTCCACAGAGAAGAAATGATGTACCATAAAGACCAGAATGTCTTAAATTCTCCACTATGCTTACTGGGAGCTCAGGTAAGTGAAGAAAGTCTTGCCTTATTTCTCCTAGGGAGTTACCTTGTACTAGGCCATCTGTAGTCTGTGAGATAGAGCTGGTATTTTCAATTAAGCCCTTGAAAAGAAATATGCTTAGCAAGTTGGCTATTAAAAAAATCCCTCACACTGTAAAGACTTGGTACCTGGAAGATATAAGCAATCCATTTTCAACAGATAGATTGTCACAAGATGGCAGTACATTAATAGTCTTAAATAAAATATGCAACTGTGTATTGTTATAGCTACATAAAGGCTAGAGCCAAATTCCTTTCCAATTATGAAAAGAACGGAGAAAATGAAACTGATGAACTTCTGAACCCCATTAGTGTGCAATCCATTACCAAAGCTGAACAGAGGAGGTGGCTAATTTATGGGCTAGGAGGCACTATCCAACCTACAGGTTCCCCAAACGAGGTGTTCCAGAGATAAGCATGAAGTTATATGGAAAACAGTAATGACCCTGAAAGACTCCTACAACAAGAAGCCTATGTAGGATGCCCTTGGAGTATTGCAAAAAACGAATGTAGGGAGTAGCTTCCCAGTTAATGATTGCAGCTATGAGCTGTGGAAGAGGAGGGAGACTCCAATTAAGATAACTGGTTTTTGTGAAGATGGGCACCCAGAAAGTAAACAATAGTATCAGAAACCCAGAAGATAAAACAAGAAAACAAAATGGGTTTGCTCCTAATGCTGACTGACCTGGTTTGCAGTGAAGATGGGTCTGTTCTTCTTGAGGGAAGTATCTTTGTAAGCACTTGACCTAATATTTATGACAACTGTAATCTTTCACTGCAAATGCTTAATAGCTGCTAGTGCTTAGTAACTCAGCATTGCTCTAGAGAAACATACCGAGAGCTGCTGTATAAACATGAATTGGCATTAGATTTCAGAAAGGGAATTATTAGTTGAACGAATTAAGCTGTCCAGCAGTTCCATCCGACTTTGAACACCAGGTCACACGAAAGACAGGACTTTGTAGCTTTCATATCCCAGACAAGTTACTGGGGAATTTTTAAAGTAGAGCCCATGATGGCTGCTGTAAAAGGTGGATATAGTGTCTTTAGGTAAGTTTTACTACACTGATTTGCTGATATATTCCCTGTTTTTTTTTTATTATCCAGTAATCACTGACTGTATTCCAGTCTATTAGCAATACAGATGTTTTCTCACTTACCTCTAGCATATTTTCCATCTGTGATGACAGAAGCTGTAAATAGCCCTTCAAGGAGAGAAGGGAATCTACATGGCTGTGGTTGCTCTGTGACAGAAGAAACAGAAACACTTTGTAAAGTACAGTTATTTTACATAAAAGGAGGTAAAAATCAAAGTCCAAGAGGAAATAGAGCACAGCTCTGTGAAATACTGCTGCTGACCTCCGCCATCAAGTCTTCATCCTGATGGGAGATGTCATGTTGTTAGAACGAGCAGAATAACTCCATGGCAGGAGCATCCCTACTCCGCCCCGCAAGAGCAGAACCGGGCTTTCCTCCTCTCTCAAGCTGCACCTACCCACCACTGTGGAGAAATCAAGTATTTTTTTCAAAACCTAGCTGCCCAGGGCAGTGGCAAGAAACTTGGATCCAATGTTCTTAGCTCTCACAAGGTCTCAAGAGGATTGAATGCTCTTTTCATTGTAGTTCTCGGAGAGAACAAAATCCAAAGTGCAACTGTTTTGGTTTAACATCATTAAGATTACTTCTCTGCCTTCTAGTTACAACACACATGTTAAGATATGAACAATCCAGTTTCCCAAATGTAATTCTACATCTGAGCATCAAGTCTCACATAATGGTGAAAGCAGTATAATTTAGCATCCACGTCTCAAGTGTTTGTAGGCCCCAAAAAATCATTGCCCACAAACACAACACCTTCATGATGAAGAAGATTAAACCAAATTGAAAAATTATTAGTTGCAAGGGATTTCTGTAAACTTTATAAAACATTTCAAGTACATAAACTATACTGGGGGGGGGGCAATTTTCGGGAGAGTGTGCAAGGGCATCATTCACAAAATACCATCTGAAGTTACTGTTCCTTTCCTGCCCTTGCAAGGGACACTCCAACTGAAAAGAAGCAATCAAATATTCCTTTCAAAACCATTCACTCCATTTCTTTCACTACTCTCTATCTTAGTGATAAGACCTCTATCCTCCTTCACTTCCTCTTCACAGTTTTCCCTTCTTCCATTTTTTTCATCATTTACTTGACATATGCCTTCCTCCTCCTCCTCCTCTTCCTCCTCTTGCAGTTCCAGCTGATCATGTCCTTGGTGTGGACAGCAGTCATCCAAAGCTTCCTGACACGCTTTCATGAGGTCAACATCCTCAAGACACAAATAAAACAGTTCTATTAAGCAACATGCTGTCAAAATTAATCTTTAAAATGCACTTTTTTCATTTTTCTACAGCTATAGCATTTCAAATAAAATATACACTGCGCAGTTCATTCATGTGGATGAACTGACTCTGTGCAGACTTCGGGGGCAGAATGAGGCCGACATCAGTTCAGGAGTACAGACACCGAATCCTCTTTCGGTGCCCAGGCACTGAACCCATCTGCAGTAGAAATGGACATTCATAAACACTGGAAACAAATTCTTCTAAAACAGACACATGATGATGTGATTTCATGGAAAATTTGGGCTATCAGTGTCTTTTGGATGTCATTTCACAACAGCATATCCAAGCCAGATACATACTCAGTGATGGAATCTTAAAATAGGCAATTATGAATGGCCAGTTAGTAAAACCCCTCGCTTTTTCTTTCAGGAAAACAATCACGTTAACATGTATTGTAATAGCAGCTCTGTTTCCCCATCACTTCCATGTAGTCATTACCCAATTCCTATTTATCCAAATGATGTTGTTTTTTTTAATCTCCAGCAATGAAATTGTTCTGATTTAGTGGTCTCAGAAGCATTTTTCAAGTTATCTTTTATCTATAATCATATCAGCAGACTTTTAAAATGTTTATTATAGGGCTGGGGTATCGCTAGGGTAAGAAGGAATCACTGCTAAGGACTTTGCATACTTATATTTAAAAAAAGCTTTGATATTTCAGCTTTTATAGTGGAAGTCTGAGCTATTAGAATGTGAAACTTGGTGGAATGGCAGCCAGAAAACCAAGTGGCCACACTGCATTAGTTCCATATATCCCCAGCAAAATGCTATGGCAGGATCAGAGAAGACAAAGTCTCAACAGCAGCAAACGTAACGAGTTACTGTTCTGTTCTAAAAATCACAACAAATTTACTTTACAGATTTTATATGAGAGCACAAACTTTATAAAAACTGCAGTTGTAATAGTCCTCAAAATGTGTAAGAGATTTTTTTAAATTATTGCTTCATACGAAAGACATTAAAAATTAAATGTAAAAAGGTTTAAAAATAGGACTCTGGAGTAAAATTAAATATAATTTGAAAATAAAGTAATAGTAATTTCATTTTTACCAATTCTATTAATTTTTTTAATTATGAAAATTAATTTTATTTTTTATTTATTTGTTGGGTTTCCATTTTTCTGTACTTTCTTTTCAAGGATTGGAAGGGAACTTTAGTTTTATAAACAGTCATTTCTAACAACAAATAGATATACAGAGCACTGATCTGTCACTCTGATGTAAGAGGTACTTTCCTTCAATGACGCCTAACACAATTTCTAGTTATTAAAAATGATATTCCAATATATTACATCTTCTTTGTCAGCTGCAGCTGGAAATGACCAGATGACTTGTTATTGCCAAATATGAGAAAACAAATTTACTTTTCTAAATACACACAACCCCCCCCAGTTTTCCTCTATGTAGTAAAACAGCAGGAGAGGGAATTTAGTATACGGGACACTAAGAACATGGTAACTAGCTACTTGCAAACACTTAAATGAGTTCAGTACTCACGGGCATGAAGTTAGTCCCATAATTACATGCTCGCAAGATCAGAGCTAGTCTTTAATTTTACAAAGAACCAACTTAATACTTGTCCAATGAACATGATCTATTACCATCCTAATTTATAAAAGTCATCATCATCAAAAGCACATAAGAAGTCAACAACAACTGCTATTAAAGACCTTAGGCAGCTCCTCTTGAGCTGAGTGGCTTGGAAAGCTGCTGCTGCTAAGGCAGAGTATTTGGCTCCTGAATAACACAGCAAATTCATTACTCTACCGGCTGATAGAAGAGGCAAATGCAAGGAACAGTTAGAAATGTGGTATCTATTATGTGATGCCTCAAAAAAATAACTGTAAGCACTGGTTCTGAATACAGAAAGTATATGGGTGACGACTTGATGGTTCCTATCAAAATTACCAGGGGTACAAACCTGTTCTACCGCAAGGGAAAAGAAAAGCTTGCGGTAACTTTGTGAAGAGCCCACGATGTGTCCTGCAGATCATCCGAAACGCTCACAGTTCAACTTGCTTATGGTGGAAATCTGCCTGCAGATGATGCTGGTCTGCTGAAGTCTACGATGGAGATGGTCCTTCCCAGCACCACTATGAGGACAACTGAACTTCTGATGTGCCTGATGGGACAGCTCCTTTCTGAAGAGAAACTAAATGCTCCCGCAGCTCGTAGAAATTTGTGGAGACTGTCATGGTTTCAGTTTCTCCGGGAAGTCAAAGACAACTGAATTTTCAGGTCTTTTCCTATCATTATATAGAGCTGTTGACCCTAAGGAGATGGGGAATACTTCTGACCATGAATTTTAGGATTTATCTGGAGTCTGCATTGATTTTTATGTATCTTTTAAGAAAAAATAACGTCTTTGACTATTTTCTCTGCTAAGCCATAGCCAGTGTCTTGCTACCCTTAGTTTCCAGGCCGAGAGCCACGAACTGCACTACAGGATCACATGCCGTTTCGTCCTTCAGAGTCTCCCTCTGATCTTTGCACAAAGCTCCTGCTGATATGAACGGAGATGCTAGCAGGGATGGGAGGGGAGGGAGGCAGGGTCTCACATTTGCTATCATGACCATTTACTGTAGTTTACCAAGGGGAATGTATCATCTCTACTGAATGAGCTTTATAATGCTGCACCGTGTGGCTCTGAAGATTAGTCTTACTACCACTGTTTCTTCCTCCAGCAGACAATATTAAAATATACTCAGGCCTGTTCACACTGATTATTACCGCAATGTTATCCACCCTTTTTAAAAAACCTTTTCACCACTACCAGGGCAGTTTCTGAAGGAGCGTGCCCTGTGACCAGCTTTTCACAACAGTGGTGGTACAGGTACAGTACGTATAAGATTGTTCACAGCACCAATTTCCACATATGGGATCATTTCAGTGAAACACTCTACATGGAAATCATGTAACACAACCAGAACCTTTCCCCCTTAATTTCTCAGTTTTGGCTTTTAACAAAAATCCCTTGGATTATGCCGTTAAAGATTTACTCTCTGAAATTACACTTCCCACCAGCTTGTTAGTCTTTCCCAGTGATGAAGAACAGCTGAAAAATACCGCTCAACAACTGAACACTTCTTCCCTTGCCCATGCATTACTTGTGATTGATTGCTGGGCTACTGCTATGGGGAGAATTGGAGGGGTGCCTCCCCCAGAAACAGCCATATCATGTTTTTGAATATGGAATTTCTTTAAAGATAGTTTAATTTTGCAGTCTGAATATACATCTAATGACAAAAGGGATTAGGTGTAAATATTACTTAGTCAGTACTGCACTGCCACAATTATCATTTCTGTCCTGTTGCTTATTTTGCATTAACAGTAGCAGGAGAAACAGTGATTGAGTTACAGTCATACCACTATGAGCACAAGAGCTAGATCAAGACCACACGTGGTTGGTCTCTGTACAGAGAAAAAGACTGATTTTTGCTGATTGTAGAAGAAATAATATTACCACCAAACCCATTTATTGCAGCAACCTTTCCACTTCTACCACTGGAGGGTGTGGAAGTTCACACCTCCCACAGCAGGCTGTTTCCAATCGGTAAACCTCAACCCTACCTGAAGACAACCTTCGATTTGCATTTGGAAGGATTTCTGTGCAAGCGCAAGGCAGGAGATTTACACTAAAACTCCCACCGAAAAAAAAATAAATAAAATAAAACCCCAAGTATCTTAAATTCTAGTCTTGCTACTGCCATTTACTAGTTTCAGTTGGGCTAGAGAACACAGTCTGAGACTAAGTCTGATTTCCCTTGTAGTTGCAGACTTGTAGGCTGGAAGGCTGGGCTCTAACCGTGCATCTGCCCTTTCCCTAAGGTACAACTTACCGCAGGTCAACTATCAGCTTCAGTTTGCCAGTCGTTGGAATATGAAAAATAGTAATTTATGTCAAATCTGCTACTTAAAGTGGTTTAAGAATCAATGTGGAGGTGGGAACAAGTATGATTTTGTGGGTGGCCTGGCCTACACTTGATTGGAAGGATGCTGCCTGCTCTGGCAAGTTTCCAGAGTTTCTTACAATGTTAAAAATAGAGCCTTTGTTTTCCAATTAAGTACATTGGAGTACTGATCTCAGCATGAATTGGGTGCATTGTACAGCAAACTATCCCTCTGCATACATCCTTCCTTTGCTTCCTACAGCCATATATTATTTGTTGTCCATAAAACAACGCATAGGGAGCAGAACCTGTAACGATATCAAAATATGAATAGGTCTATCGCGATGCACTGGTTGGGTGAACGAGACCCCTCTCTATGAGCAGCAGAAAGCATAAGCAAGCTTGTTTTCAGCTATTGATCAGCATGCAGCTGGCAAAGAGGGCTAAAACTACACAGGTCAGGGCTACAAGTGCACAGAAATATTTGAACTAGCTCCGGAGTAACAGAAACACCTTGCAGCAGCAGAACAGAGCAGACAGGGTGATTTGCCGGGGTGTACAGGCAGCACCGAGAGGTAGGGGGTACCTGCCCCTGGAAAGCTCTGTTTCACTGCAGTCAGACTCTGAGTTATCTCTACAAATATCCCAGCACCGGAGCAAAGGTATATGACCACCATTATTTGCAAAAGGATATAACTTTTTGTGCTGATTACTCATGTATCCTGTTCACGTGCTGACTTCTAATTCCTCTACATATACATTCTCTTTATTTTAGTTGTCAAGCTTTAAATCGCTCCATTACTGTCATTAACCTTTGAGATGCTTTTCTGCAAACTTGTGTCCCTTCTCCTTTATTAACTGCACTTGTCTGTAGAACCAGCCCTCTCCTTGCTACTAGCTGATGATCTGCTAGTAGCCTGGTGATCTTTGCCACGTTTTGAATAATTAAGCAGCATTTCCAGAAAATTGTCCCACCAGTAGAAGTTAGGCAAAAGAAATACAGCTTCTAGTAACATAACCAGTAGTTTCACTTTA